GGAGATACAAGTGCTGCTCAGGGTCTGGAGGTAAGCTGTGACTACTGGCCACAATAATTGTTTAAATTTTTTGTTGTTGGGAGATATAAAAATATTACATTCTACTTTTAACTGCTTTTATGGGAAAGGAGCAGTCCAATATTCTAGTCATTTTTTTTTCTGATGTATGTAAAAAAAAACAGAGTTTACCTAATTTCTCATATCAATTAAAAAGAGTTTTATATACTAAGCACAACAATATCTAGTTCAACAACAAAATAAAGTTCTAATATTTCAGTTTTTGTCACTAATCTAAAAACTTCAAGGTTATTGTGAAAAAACATTTCTAAATGTAAATATTAGACTTGTATTTAGTTGATATTTATTTTGATTTGAATATCTAGTTAATATTTTATTATATTTTTTTCAGTTGCTGGCAGACAATCTGAGTGACATGGAACTTCTGACGGCATATCTGGGACCATCTGACTCAACGGGAGACAATGGTCAGAATTCTTCCAGTACAGGGGATGACTTGTTGGCATTGTTTGAAAACTAGCCACTGGTCATTGGTATTATTTTTCAACTGACTGAATGTTTTTGGCCAACACTGCCACACAGACACAAGCACAGGTCAATAAACCTTTCAGCAGGTTGTGTGCAGACCAGTGTTGGACTAAGTTCTGTGACCAAGGAACTGGACAATCCAAATGTTTTTTAAAAAATCCAAAAGGAGTAAATAATATCTGGCAATGATATTTAAATCTACAAACAATTCCTTCTTGTTCCTTGTAAACAGAGAGAATGAAACACAATCAAATAGTTGTCAAGTTGTAATTCATCAAGTGCCTGACACATGGATTACAACAACTGGAACCAATCAACTATTTTTCATTTTGTGATCTGGCAGTTCTTTAAACCAAAAAAAACAAACAGCTAACAATTTTTTAACTACAGACCTCAATGGGCTTGGCTTTAAAAGAAAAAAACTAGCAACTTAAAAATATAATGCTAGTGTTTCTGCTAGCAAGCAAGTTGTGATCTTCTCAAGCAAAACAAAATGTCTTTGGACTGAAAGGCCTAACTTTGTCTTCATTGTTTTCAATAATCAAGCTATTTTAATAGCTCATCATCCTGTTTCAAAATGCCCCTGATCTTGAAATTCTGCCATTTAAGGAACAGCATATGATTGGGCAGGCTGGGGTCTGATGGTCATCTTCCTATCATATCAACACACAAGTCTCCTGCTGGTTCAAGTGTACTTGCTGACATGCCATTCACTGACTTAATAAAAAACAAGCAAAGCATTTAGTTTGTGCTCTAGAGATGCTTTCACTCATTCTGTGCATGGAGTTTCACAATTTTTCTGAAGGCAGTCACCAACTTGTCTGCTTTCATGGCTTGGTGGTACTGGGATAGACCAACCTTGTCTACAAAGGAAACAAATCAGTGTCACTTAGTGCTAACAATGGATATACACTGTTTTGTTTTTGTTCTGTCTAGAGCTAGTTGGATTAATGTGTTTGGAATTTCAGTAAAGTAGTTTAAGAATTCACCATTGTCTCAACTGATTATTCAAGTCAAGGTCGAACAAGCAATGGGAAACCTTCAGACGTCTAATAGACACATTTGATGGTGGAATAACTTGATTCATTTAGCTTGTATTCTAATAAACAAAAAAGACATGTCAATTACAATGTAATAAATAAATGTAGTTTTGATAACATATGAGCTCTACAACTGAATGATTATGTCATTGACATGAAGCACTTGGGTTATTAGATACCATAGGTCTAGACTGTGTCAGAACTTGTCAAATGATGTCTAATCCACCTTGCAAATTTTTGTATCTTGAGCAGTCATCATAATCAACTTTGGACAAGTCAGTTGTTTCTTTTAAAATGAAACTTTGTATACCTGTAATAGAATGTCCTCAATCAAATGAAAGGTTTACATCTCATGACTAATGTTTACCTATTTAGTCATTGATAGAAATGTCTAAGAACAGAGACTGTTTGGTTTAACTATTTGAATGTCATGAAAACTCAGGGAATAGAGACTAAACTAGAACGTCTAAAAGTTTTTTTTTGTGTGTCAATGTCTTTAAATTGTCTTATGGAAACACTTCTATGGGTCTTGAAACTTGATCTAAACATATTCTAACATTTTAAAAACAACTTGAAGTAAGCTAAAGAAATATCTTGAAAGACTGGCCCTTAAAAATATGACTTATGGTATCAAGGACTGTCAGCAACACCATTTTATATTCTTGGTGAGTTTCCCTGAAAGTTATACACTACAATATGGTATTCTGAGATTTAGTAGAAACACACTGGATATGGAAAGGACACACACAAGGCTTAGACAGACTGATGCACTTGTCAACATTTATAAAGAACTTTTAATAACCATTTAAGCAATTTAAAACAGGGTGAAAGTTATGTACATGCATATAAAATAATTTATAAGTTTAAAGAGACATTGAATAAATTAATTTTGAGATTGATTGTTTTTAGTTTATCTCAGTGGGAAATATAAGTTCAAATGTTTTGTTTTAGTTTTTAGTGAAAATTGCTGACTTGCTTTAGAGATTTATTAGCCCAGGAAGTGCTGGCACCATTTTGGAAATGTGGCCTGTCTTTTAATGTTAGTGTTAGTTTCAGAAACTTATTAAATTTGTTTTAGACAGATTTTATAATACATTAATTAACAGTTGTATTTAGAAACTTTGTCACACTATTTCTATCAGAAACTATGTAACTTGGACAATTTCTATTAGAAACAGACTTAGTATCTTTCATTATTAGGCTCCAACAGAGGCATTTAATCTTATACTATGACATCACTATGAGACAGTAGAACCATTCTCTGCAAAGAACTGAGACTCTGGACCATTCAATGCAAGAAACATTTCAAAAAGTCTCTTTTATATTGACATTTTGTTTTACTGGTTAAAAAAAATAGCCATTAAAGCTTTGTGAACTGCATAACAGTTGATGGGATCGGAGGATCCCAAGGCAGCAAATGATCCTATCACTGTCATTCTGTACATCATCCAGTTACCCTCAATGTCATCATAATTCCTCCATTTAGTTACTCTCAATGGCATCATAATTCCTTCATTCAGCGAGAAAAATAAAATACAAAAAACATCACATTACAAGACATCTCATGACATGCCCTCACGATTTCATTTTTTTTTTGTCTGTATGTTTAAATAATTTAAAATTGGCTCTCAGTAGGCCAATCAGGCAACCATACTGTTTGACCCCATTGCTATTCTATTGTATTTGTTGTCTAATGTTGTTTGATAATGACTTGAATGATTCTAAATACTTATACATATATAAATATCTATCTATACATATAAACAAAAACTTATCTGTGAATGAATGTCAGTGTACAGGATATTATTGAATGTTTTACTTTTTCTTCTATTTGTTGTCAAACTAGCAAATTAAATAGCAATATCTGTTGTTTTGTTTCTTGCATTGTTTGATTCAGATACTGACTTTTGTTTGTTCTCATTGGCTAATTCTGGACTCTATCCATCAAATTTTTATGAAGATGTTGTTTATTATCATTCATCAGAATAATTCAGAATTAAAACTTCAATATTTTTATACATGCAAATATATTTTGATAAATTATAAATAAATAAATTATTAACTATTCATTTGGTTATAGAATCAAAAGTTAAAATTTCATCCAGTAATTAGAGTTCTTGGACCCAAAGCCTTTTGTCTCAATTTTTAAGCAAAATTTAATATGCAGTTTTTCTTTTTTCTTTTTTTTTTTTTTTTTTGTTGTTGACGATGGGAAATGTATTATTCTCTGACTTCACAAAGAGATATGGATTGTATTTACAAGACAAAATAAACTGTATATTTTTTCAGATCAAATTGTTTTAGAAATCAAGTTTTATTCTTGAAATTGTCATGTCTTTTTTTTTTTTTTTTTTTTTTTTTTTTTTTTATTGTCACAATTTTGTAAAGATGCTATAAACTATACTGAGTCTTTGTCCATAATGTTTATCTAAGTAGGTCGTGTTGAACACACTTTTAAGTGGGTCATGTGACTTTTTTTTTCATGTACCTCTTGAAGGATGGTAATTCTAATCCATTATCTATTATATGTAATACTATTGTCTTTCCTGATGATTTGTTTTATTTTGTTTTATTTTTGCCTAATAGTTTCTAACCTGATTCTCTGAATGAAATTTGTATTCCTTTGACTTGAAAAAAAGATTTTTAGAAAATGTTTTAATGAGCCATGTTAACAAGTCAATTTTATTCAAATAGTATACACATATTTTTATGCAATAACTTACATAACTAACTGATTAAATTCAAATTTTTACTTTTTAAAATTCAAATATTTTAGAAACATTTTTAATTTCATTTATTAATTTTTATATTACAAAAAGATAGTTTGTTTTATTTCCAGTCCAATTTCCTGTAAAAAAAAAAAAAAGTTTTTTTTTAAATAGTTTCTGTGTTACAGTGCACCAAACAACTTTGTGTTGCTCTTGACATTACTGTATGTGGACAAACGATTGAATTACAAAAACCTAACACAGAGACCAAAGTTTTTGAAATGTCAACACAAAGTTCCTAGTAGTTCAATGAATGAACTGGTTGTGAGTGAATTTAATGTATCAAATAAATCAACCACTTTTGTCTCTAAGCCAACTTATTTGTGTAAAGTACTCTACTCAAGCTTGTGTTTTGTACTCTACACAGTAGCTTGGTTTTGTCTTAAGTACTCTACATTATAAACTGGTTTGTGAATATATATCTCTACTCAATAGACAGGTTTGACTTATGAACATAAAATCGTCACACTTCCTTATTGCTTCTTAGTGTGTGTGTGTGTCTTAATTTGTCAACACTGGTTTTGTTTATTTATTGTATAGAACTGATCAGGTGAACGATTCAAGTGTCTCTCATTGTAGTGGTCTTTTATTTTGTCATCTTAAAATTGGGTGCAACTTTTTTGTGTGACATCTTAGTTGGGCAACTTGTATGACATCTTAGTTGGGCAACTTGTATGACATTTTAGTTGGGCAACCTCTATGTAACATATATGGGTTGTTCAACTTTTTATGTGATATTTGAGTTAAACTTGTATGTCACATTTGAGTTGTTCAACTTTGTCACATTTGAGTTGCTTAACTTGATTGTCACATTTTATTTGTTCAATTTTTATGTCACATTTTGAGTTGTTCAACATTTTATGAGACATTTGAGTTGTTCAACTTGTATGTCACATTTTGAGTTGTTCAACTTTTGTACAGACTTCATGAAACAATGTTTGTTTGTGACATTTTGTTTGCAGTATTGGAGGTAGGTTAAACAACCTGCACACTTGTAATATGAATGTATTTCTTTAATTTATTTTGAACATTAGCCCCCATTCATTGCTCCCCCAGCTGTAGAGTGATTTCCCCTTAACAAAAAAGCTTTATTTGTGTTTATTTGATAGTGAGAGTGGTTATGTGTATATGTAAAAGTATGATCTCCAGCCAAAGAAACAATTCACTTCCTTGTATTGTCTTATGTTGCAACTGCTTCTTCCATCCAGTTCCAAGTGTTTGTTTTGTTGTAGCTACCATAGAGCAATGTTTAATTGATAGAGGACTCTTATCACCCCTACCCTAGGTCACTAGTGCTCCATTGGTGTCAAAAACTATTTGTATAAAGTCCCACTTCTAACTTTGAAAGAGTTCAAATCCAAACTCTAATTTTAGGCCAAAAATCCATGACATTTTGGAAACGGATTTTCATGGAAAATAAAATGTTCATACTTCACAAATGTCTCAGCATAGTGGGGTGTAAGGGACACAACTAGCTTAGAAACAAAACAATGTACAATTGCAAGAAATCCAAAAATGTGTTGACCATCCTGTGAGATGTGTGTGTGTGTAACAGTTATGTGCATGTTAAGAGAACAATGCTGTTTGATAAAGAGTTTTAATTTATTCTGTCTATTGCTAATTGTCTATCTCGACATCTTAAGGTGTCCATTGAAAATTTCAAGAAAATGAGTAGAAATGTAATTTTGTTCCAAGGCTACTACAAACTTCTGAACACATTGTTGGGGTGTCTGAAGTCAACTTACATTAGCGATTTCATAGCTCAATATACCTTTGTTTTAGGATACATTCAATTGTATTCAAACTCTACATTGTAAATATTTTAAATTTTAGGACCTTTTTTTAAAATTGAGTTTTATTTATTCAACTTCAACAGACACCTAATTCTAGTGTGTTGGCTCATTTCTTTGACATCTTTGTTTAGGTCCATGGTCAGATGAGACTGTTGGACATGTCAGGTCTAATATGTTGTATGTCAGATGCATTATGTTGTATTACAAACTCATATTGCTTTTTGTTTCTGTGTATGTGTTGGGTTTGTCTCTGTTAATGCCAGCAGTGTATTCTACTGTTAGCACTGGGTACAGGGGGGCCAGTCCCAGTTCTATGTGATCATCTTAAGACAATAAATATAGACTAATATTCAAACGTTTTCTTTCGTTGTTTTCTTCACCTTCTTGTCTGTCAGTAGTTTATCTTTTTCATAAGTCATTTCAAAGGTTCTGCATTTGTAACAATCGAATCGACCAACACTCAATAGTCTAAAATAAAATTGCACATTTAAACGCTATAAGACAAAAATGAAGATCTAGTTTTATATATTTGCTAAAATTCATTCCAAATTGAATGACATTTTCTCGTGTAAAGTGTCCAGATCTATTAGAAGTAGAGTGTAGATCTAGATTAGATTTATAAAATGATTTAGATGCAAGTGGATTCAACAAGGACAGGAATTTAGATCAAGATTTTATTTCGATTATTGCAAATGTTGGTAATCTGGATTTTTCAACAAAAAAAAATGCTGAGTAGGTCTGGAATATTGATAATGAAGCCCTAGCAGACGACTTTCAAGCAGTGCTGGTTTCTACCGGATGTAATGACGTCATCGACATTCTCATTGGATAACAAGAGAGCCGAAGGGATGGCGTAAGTCTCACATTAAACTATGCAATGCACAAGATTCGTAAATATTCTCTTTTTTAAAGACTACAGTGTAATAGATCTACTAGCTTATTATACAGATTAAGCAATTACCCAAACATATGGGGGCACGACATGGTCTAAATTGTGCCGATGTGCCAAAAATCCAATATATCAAATACCAAACATATGGCCTAAATTTATTTCCTATAGAATGCCCGCTAGAGTTAAAATATTTGGATGGATTTACAAGACAACGTTCTATGTTTAATAGGGTAGCATAAGATCGTATACAGAAGCCTTTAGTTTCCCTGTCAGCCAGATGACTGACACATTCATAAATGCGAATTATTGGTTCGTCGCTGTCTACTACGAAGACAGTTACAACAGACGAACGTGACCCAACACAACGGCGAAGGACAAAATAGCGGCCATGACAAAATAACGCCCCAATGTTTATCTATTTGTATTCATTTTTTAGGCAATATTTCAGACTTTGTAAAATACAGATACCCAAATGTAACAGAAACTCCAACAGTGCTGCCGAACATCTATTAAGTTGGACACACATTGTCTTGCTTGTAGCTTTGCTTCGTTGTATCGAAGAATCCTTTTCTCGCTGTTCTAATGCCTCTGATGGATCAGCTTCTAGACTTTAGGGTGGTGACCGTCTAGAGACAGCTTCTAGAAATTAGAGTGGTGACCGTCTAGAAACAGCTTCTAGACATAAGGGTGGTGACCGTCTAGAAACAGCTTCTAGACATTAGGGTGGTAACCGTATAGAGACAGCTGAAACGCATGGTGCCATCCTTCCAATAAAATGTTTTGTTCCTGGCAGTTGTGTACTTGATCCAGAATGTCACACAATGTTACAGGAAATCTTGGAGTCACTTAACGGCTTGCTTTGTTTCAGATGACTAATTGTCCTGCCAATAATTATCACCTTCACCTTAGTCCGTTGAACTGTTGGGGCACCACACAAGATCTGTCAATAGTCTTTTTCCGTTCCTCTATGTCCTTTGCCTTGGATAGAATTTCATTCACTGACAGGCCCGTCCATTCTTTGATGTCTTGCCATCGCTTCCTCTGTCTTCCTCTTCTTCTTTTTCCTGGTACTGTTCCCTGAAGGAAGGTCTTTGCGAGCCCTGAGGAACTTGTGATGTGGCTAAGGAGTTACGTTTATGATTATACAAATTCGTTATAACACCTAGCCGAGTTTCATTCAATTTTTCAAAAGCAGTATTTACATCGGCAAGTAGAACAAATGAATGCATTAACAAAATATATATATATGTAGCAACATCTTTCTATATCATACATAAAGTTCATGTTATTCTGTGTCCTGCTTTTTGTAGGGACATTTCTGCGTATTTTTGTCCGCGCCTTTTTGTCGGGTAACCACAGATGAACAATGGTACCAAAAATAGACGGGAAGGGGTTATACAAATGTGGCACAAGTAATTCAACAAACGTTGATGTCTACGATGATAGAGTTCATAAATGAACATTCACAACGCCATTTACCCGTGAAGATTAAACTACGTCAGATGACGACGTAACACCAAATGATGAAGATGAAGACTTAAACCCGAGTTCCGATGCAGACTTAAATCCTCAAATTCATTTAATTTCCGATGCCTTTGAGAATTTAAGTTGGTCTACATTTCGCGGCGCTCTTTTGTGTCAGTATTATTCTAGTAGGCTTACATGACAAAATTAGAACAATGGATCGAAAGCAGACACAATAATAAAAGCTATGGCATGCAAAGAGGCTTGACTAAAATACGAAACAATCTTGATGGCATTTGTTTTATCTGCATGTTTGGGAACATATAACTATATTTCTGTACGGTATTGAAAACTATTTCAAACACATGAACTTGATGTTTTGAGAGCATAGAACTTGATGTGTAGCCAACTGTTAGAGATGTCCACACTCAAATAGATTTCTAATGATAAAGAAAGAAGCAGATGACTTTGTGAGGTGGGCAGATACAAGAATTGAGGATCAAGAGTTGGATTGATAAACTGCAGCCTGTGTTCTTGCGTCTTGAAGATGGACATCACATACATGTCAGTGTATAGAGTATTATGTATTTTCCGTGGTATGTATATTTCCTTTCCAAATGTTACGCTAAACTCATTTAAAATATATACAAGCGGTTCATGTTATAAATTATTGCTATAGTTAAATACTAAGCGTCACTCGGGCATGTTTTCAGTTTTCGATACATCTTAAAACTTAAAAGAATGATTTAGAAGTCAAATATGACTAGATGCTTATTATAGGTCACGCAATGTGTGGGTCGGATGGAATGCCTGAACCGATTTTTCCATGCAGTCTGCCCCTGTAAAAAGATATAGTCATTGATATTTCTTTACTATCAATCTAAATTCCGTTTTCTTCTCGAATATAGACAGTGTATAGAGTTCAATCTATAAACACATATACGGTGGCATGTAGCTCAAGTTACCAGGCCGGCAAAAGGAGGGCGTTCCCTTTTTGATGTCGCGTCTTCAGTCTGGCAAGAATTAGTCTAGAGTGTGAAAAGGTCTGTAGTTAACTCAGTTGCTAAGTCAATTGTTTATTGCATAATCTTAATCAACCTGAGTCAGTCTTTCCTATCTTCTCATTGAGACATTCAAACATATACCTAACCACTGTCATACGTACAGTGCATAAAATAAAGGAACAGAGAACTGGTGTGCGGGATTGATGAGTTGTTTGACCAGCCACTGGAACTTGAAATCATTTGCAGGACAAAAAGATTTATTCTGTGCCGAATTTAAGCAAGTTGCGGCCTTGGGCAGAACTTTGATGGAGTCCCCTACTCTGTCTAGCATGAAATATAACCAAAATAAAATATAGGCCTAACAATACTGCACATAGGCGTAGATATATATAATATTGTCTCTCATATAATAATATTGCACATAAACGTAGATATTAATTAATATTAATCTGTGTCTCATAAAATATAATATTACTGCACATAGGCGTAGATATTAATTAATATTACTTAGTATAAAGAAATAAATAATAATTTTTATTTCCAAAACTGAGTTGACAGTTGAAGCAAGCAGCAAGAAGCAAGCGGCCAGCAGCAAGAAGCAAGCAGCAAGAAACAAGCAGCCAGCACCAAGAAGCAAGCAGCCAAGCAGCAAGAAGCAAGCAGCCAGCTACCTATCATGGGGAGCTTGAGTTCGTTTCTCAGTATGGTTCAAAAAGATTGCTCAATTACTTCTGTCTTGAACTGTTGGTCACGAGCACCAAGTACATTGAAAACATTCTCTCCAAAGTAGGAAATAGGCCTATGTCAGAAATATTTTGTCCACCAACAATTTGAAAATAAAATATTTCTCTGACTTAAGTTTGTCTGCTAGATAATATTCCAAATACTTTTTCACTTAATCAGGTTCGAGTACAGAGGGACTGGAAAGAAGCTAATGTCCCTCCCCTATTAAAAAAAAGAAGATAAATCTGATCCTTGAAACTACAGACCAGTAACCCTAACTAGCATCACCTGTACAATACTAGAACACATCATTTCAGTTCTACAAAAGTAGACGTTAATCACAACATCTTTTTTTTTTAATTAATAAAACTGGCGAATTTTGGTGTTGAAAGTTTTTTTTTCTTTCTAAGTACTAAATACCGCTGGACTTGTTTTCGTTAAAAATACTGCCATCTTAGTTCTAGATGTAGGTGTTGAAAAGCTATTTGTGACATAAGAAGAGATCACCTGAAATATATTTTCTTCCTGTCCTTATCACTTGACCGCCACGCACAATGCAAGGTCCACCTATTCAGCTATGGGGCGTCGCCCCTCATTGAAAGGTGTGGCGTCTTGTTCGGGTTAGGCTACTTGGTCTTTCGTGCATTCCGAACCCGGGACTCGAAAACCATGCATTGAGTGCTTTGGTACCCAGGTTCCAGAGGAAGCCCGATGGGAACCAGTTTCGATACCAGTTGTTCGCCTTTCTGGTTCCGCTAACATACGTTACCACAGAGGCGCCATGTTGAGGCTACATGAGCACAGTGAGAAATATTCTTCTATGTAAAATCTAAATAACTTGTCTTGCATTGAAATATTGATGTTTGTTTTTTTCAAGATGATGAGCAAGCCTACTGCCATATGTCGCTTCATCTGAGAAACGTGATACTTGATCTAGTTATAGAGCCTAAGATAAACTAACATACATTGTCTACTCCATTACATTGTCTGCCTGGATTTCAAAGTTTACTCCCTCCTCATTGGCACGGCTTCATTCTCCTTTGGACGTGCATGTGTCTTGAGAGTTCAAGTCATAAAATCGAATATTCTTTTTCAATAAATGTTTTAGCAGAGGCGGCGCCAGGCATAGGCGACTTGTTGCTCGAGGAGCCTCGAGCAAGTGTACGTTACAAAGAGATATGCACCATTTATTCTTAAAATAATTAACAACATAGACGTCAAAAAAAATTACCGTCGAAGTATTTCTTAGGATTAAAGGGTCAAAATATTTGT